CACAACTAGACTGAAGAACAAAAGGACAGCAACTTGTCTGTTCCCATCCCCCAACTCCCCAATAAAAATCTTTAAAAAAAACCAAAAGGTGGTCTATAGGTACCAGGAGATATTGTTCGGCCTTGTTGTGGACTCATGCTTCTGGCCCCTCAAAATCCTCATGTTGACACCCTAACTGTTGATGTGATGGTAATAGGAGGTGGAGCCTCTGGGAGGTCATGAGGGTGGGGCCCCTGTGGTGGGATTAGCGCCCTTATGAGAAGAAGAAGAGACTAGAGGCCATGGTCTCAGCGATATGAGGACACAGCAAAAAGCAGCAATCCACAGACCAGGAAGTGGGCCCTTAGCAGACACGGGCTCTGTCTGCACCCTGATCTCAGACTTCCAGCCTCCAGAACTGTGAGAAATCAATGTCTGGTGTTTAAGCTCCCAGAGCAGCCTGAGCTAAAACAAACCTGAAAAAGAAAAGCAATTCTGACACGCTCCAACACAGATGAACCTTGAAGACATGCTGAGCTAAACAAGCCAGTCACAAAAGGATGCATATTATATGCTTTGCTTTTATGAGGCTCCTTGGGTGTCAAATTCAGAAACAGAAAGTGGAAGGGTGGGTGCCAGGGCCGGGGATGGGGGGTGGGACAGGAAACGGGAATGAGTGTTTCATGGGTGCAGAGTCTCAGTTGGGAAAATGAAAAAGTTCTGGACATGGATGGTGGTGCTGATAGCACAACAGTGTGAATGCACTTAATGCCACTAAATCAGACACTTCAAAAGGTTAAAAGGGTCAATTTCATGTTAACTATACATTAGCGCAATGAAAAACCCCAGCCGAGATTCAATGTCCTGATGTGGTGTTTCGCAGTAAGGTTTAAAACAGCTTTGCACTATGAAGGGATACACGCTGAAATGTAAGTGATCACCAGGATGAGGAAAGTGGAGTCCCCCCCGCCTCCCCAGCCCCCAGATGTAGGAGCTGATGGCGGCTGGCAGGCAGGTGCTTATGGGGCCCAGGCAGGCAGCCGTGTGCCAAGGGCAGGTGACCATGGTCCAGACATAACCTCATGTGACAAGAAGCAAAGCCTTCAGCCTGTCTGAGGGAGAGAACGATAATGTGCTTTATTCTCTGATTTGTTCCTCAGGTGGAAGTGACGGAAGACGCGACTGTCCCAGTGCGTGGAGGGGAGGAAGAAGGCAGTTTCTTAATTGGTGCCACACACATCAGGTCCAGTAACTGCCTTGTTTTCTAGCCACAGAAAGCAAATATTTCACCCAGGGAGGGCCGTGTGGAGGGCGGTGTGGACAGTGAGCGTCTCTGCGGCCACAGACCCTCCTGCCCGAGCCCAGGCCTTGCTGCTGGCACCTTCCATGAGCTTATTTCTCCCAGTCTTACATGGGCTCTGAGAGGTTACATAGCTTGTCACAGCTCGTCAGAGTGACAGAATCAGGGGTGAAGTGGCAGCAGTGGTCACAGAGCCTGGCCCACAGGGCTGAGCGTCCAAGTATAGAGCTACGTGAAAAGAAGGAACCCAGGACATTCACTATGGGCTCAAACGCCCCCCACAGCATGTAAATTCACTCCATACTTACTTTATACTAGTGTGAAAGCCCATCATTTATACTGGGCTCAGCACACTTTCTGTAGAGGCCCAGACAGGAAATATTTTGGGATTTGGGGGCCTTCCAGTCTCGGTCCTAACTGCTCCCTCAGCCACGTGCAAAAGCAACCAGAGATGATATGTAAATGAGTGGTCATGGCTGTTTCCAGCACAACTTCATTCACAAAAGTAGCTGGTGGGCCTCCCTGGGCCCATGGGCCATCATTCGCTGACCTCTTGTTTTTGCAAACACATGGCCGTATTTGCACTTTTTCAGCAGTGACCGGGTCCCCACCAGTGGCCCAGCGCTGGCTCACTCGTGCATCACCCTCACATGCCATGTGCTGGTTGCTTTTCCCCAGCAGTTGGCTGGCACAGCCTGGGGTCAAGCTGATGCCCATTGTATCTTCCCAAATGGGATTATTGTGCCGAGGACATGTGGCTTGTTTATGAATGTTGTCCAGTTGTTGGGCTGTGACCGTGAGAATTCCTGAACAGAGGGCAGATGGCGTAGTAGTCATTTTCAGCAAGTTTTGTATTTCATGGCGTCTTTCCTATGAGCCAGGTGAGGGCTGAGAGCCGTGGGGGTGGGTTGGCTCACTGATAACAGCGTAACTGGGATGGTGTGTGCGACACAATCACCCTGGAAGTGTCACATGTCTGTACAGCTTAGAAGAGGGCTAGAAATCTACTAACTCCTCATTCATCTCTTTGTTTGATTGCTTTGTTGTTGTTGACTAAAAAAAAAAAATCTATTATCTACGTATTTCTTTTTAAATTTTTTTTCAGTGACAGTTGACATTCCATATTATTTTATATTAGTTTCAGGTATACAGCATATACCTGAAGTAAATGTGAGACGTTTATATAATCTATGCAGTGATCCCCCAACTAGTCTATGTATAGTGCCAGGTGGGTGTTTGGCTTTTAAAAAGCAATCTGTCGTCTTTTCAATCCCTGTCATTGGAATTGGCAGAATATGAGGTCAGAAACACTGGAGTTGGCCGTGGCCCCTTCTGTCCTGTGGCCCGTACAGAGGGATGCTATCTGAGTTTGACTTTTATTATCTGCTGCCCACGGGGTCTCTGCATGTGTCCTCAGGCACTCGGCTGTGTGCCTCACCTGTGCTTCCCTCTCCTTCATGCAGGTGGATGGTTTCTAGCCTGCTTCCCAACCCCACCTCGGCTGAGTGCTGGGCAGCCCTTCTACATGATCATATGACTCTTGATATGGACGCAGTCCTGTCAGACTTTGTTCGGTCCACGGGGGCAGAACCTGGTCTGGCCAGAGACCTGCTGGAAGGTAAGCCGCCTCCTCATCCCCACACCTCCCTCTCGGCATAACTACCTGCTAACCTGGTGACAAAAGCTAAAATGTCTGTTACCTGACAATGGTGGTATTTGGACTCTTTAAAAAGTAGAAGAAGGTGTTGCTGATGAAATTACTTTTGTTACCCTGGACTTTATTTGAGGTATGGAATACATGACTCAACTCTGCTTTGCATGAAATCTTATAGATAATGAGTCAAAATTTATGAGTAATTACTTTTTGTAAAGGAAATATATTCACTAGGAGGACATTATAGAACATTCCAGAAAACACTTTTATTGGAGACCTGGGCTGCTTATCTCTGTCTTAGCTGAGACAAAAATACTTGAGGCCAAAGTTTTTGGTGAAGAACTACCTAGTAGCCAGTAAAATGGATGCTAATTCACAAGCAAGAAGACAAAATACTTCCTCAACCTCTTAGAGTCAATGCCATTTGCTACGTGAAAAATGTGCGTAGTTCGTATGCAGAATGTTTTTAGATATTTATTCAGCTATAATCATAATGGACTAACAAATGAAAGTTTCATATCTGTGCCAGGCTCTAAAATGGACTCATTTTGTATATTTTTGAATATTTGTGGTGGGGGGGAGCAGTGGGGGGAGATGAAGGGTGGGGGTGGGGGGGTAAAGAAAAGAGGTGAGAAGAGCCAGGTATAACTTCTCAGGACAATCAAATGTGTGAAGAGAGAGGATTTTCAAATCATTACTCTTTGCTGCAAATGTATAAAGTGCTATTTGTGGATTTAGTTACTACTTGGCCAAGTATTATAAGTCACAATGATTCCTTAATTCACTTGGGAAAAATATGAATTGTTGTACATATGTGTGAATGACAGTGATAACTATTCAATCCTTTTGAAAATCAATGACCACCTATTAGAGGATTCTGAGAAAATGGCGATGGTAATCATGTAGTTGTAAATTTCCATGAACCTCCCAGAATTTCAACCAAACTCAGGGTTTAGAAGAAAATATGCTTAGAGAGTGTTTGTGATGTGTGACTCAAAGCCTGGTTCTCACTTCCTGATAGTCACATTACAGGATGTCTCCCCGACAGTTCCCACCGTTTTTCTTCATCTAAGTGAGCAAGCGGTCGTGTGGACAAGAGGTTTAGATGAGGCTGGCAAGTGAGGCCTGGGGTCAAAGCCAGACTCAGCCACTCACTGGCTGTAACACGTACAGCAAGTTATTTTACTTCCCTTAAGCTCAGTTTTTTTCTATATATGGAGCCTAGCCCACCTTCCAGGTTGTTAAAAAATAAAATTCAACTAAGTAAATCTGAAGACCTAATTGGCTTTATTAAGCAACTCATGAATCCGGCGGTGACCCATCTAGCAACTAGAAGCCGCTCTGAGGGTTTGTTCAAAGTGGGAGGTTTTTATAGGAAGAAAGGTGGGGCAAGGGAGCTGAGGACAAAAGGAAAGAGGGCTAATTTGGGGCTGGGACATCTTTTCTCTGTGGGAAGAGGAGGTAGGGGTTTCGTTATGTGGATTGCCTCCTTTCTGCGGGGGATGGAGAGGGATTGTGCCACAACCTTTCTGGGGCTCCACCAGAAAATTCCAGACTGGTTGATTAAGATTATGGTCTGGGAGCAGCTGAAACTGCATTTCAGTCATGTATTAAACCTCGATTTGGTGTTGTGGGCTTTTAGCCCAAGGGACGCCATTTGTGGCCCATGGTTTCTCTCCAACAAGGGTGGTTACAAGCATTAGTGGTGACATAAGACGCTTGGCAGAGGGACCAGGGTGTAGCAGAGGCTCTGGTAATAATCAGAGAAGGTCAAGTTTGCTGCTGCGGCCTCTGTCACTGGCTCTAACGTTGCTGTTAATGGCCAGATAGATAGACTTCCATAGGAAGCTAGAGCTGTCCGTTCTTTCCTCTTTTCCTTACTTTTCTTTTCTAAATTAAAATACCAAAACATTCACGTTTTTTGTGTGTACAGTTCTATGAATTTTGACATGATGTATAGATGTCTGATGACCACTCTCAGTCGCCCAAATCCTCCCCGCTCCCTCTTTCATCATCTTGCCCGCCCCACCTCGTAGCCTCTGCCCTGTTTCCTATCACTTCAGTTTTGCCTCTTTCAAGAATGCCATGTAAATGGAGTCATAAGGAACCTCATCTTTTGAAGCTGGCTTCTTTTCATTCAGGATAACTTCTCTGACATCTACCCAAGTCGTGGGTGTCAGTAGTTTGTTCCTGTTTATTGCTGAGTGTTATCCATTCGAGAGAGGGACCACAGTGCGTTTATCCATTTACCTGTTTGCATGTGTTCAATTGTTTTTAAGTTTGGGCATTTATGACTAGAGCTGCTCTAAACATTTGAGAACGGGGTTTTTCCAAACATAGTTTTAATTTTTCCAGGGTAGACACATAGGAATGGAATTGTTGGCTCATATGGTAAGTGTTTAGCTGTGTAAGAAGATGCCAAACTGTTTTCCAGGGTGGCTGTGCCATGTTGCACTCCCACCAGCAACGTGTGAGAGCTCCAGTTGCTCCACATCCTCACCAGCAATTGGTATTTCTTGGTTGTTGGGGGTTTTTTTTGGTTTTTTTGTTTGTTTGTTTGTTTGTTTTTAAGATTTTTTATTGGGGAATTGGGGGGATGGGAACAGTGCTGGGGGATTGGGGAAGGGGAACAGACAAGTTGCTGTTGTTTTTGTTCTTCAATCTAGTTGTGGAGGACGTTGCTTCACTGGCCCGAGTTGGCACCATCATTGCGCTCTTCCCTGGAGAGNGGAAAATTGAAAGATTAATTGTGAACTATTCTATCATTCCTGATGTCCTAAGAACCAGGATTAGGAGCGGAATGAAGAAGTTTATAAATAAGATGGATGAGGTTAAATAAAATCCCTGAAGTCCTCAATTTGAGTTGGAAACACTAGAATGAACTCAAGATGTATTTTGTCTTAAAACATACGGATTTCTTAGCTCTGCTCACTAAAACGTCCCATAAATAATGACTAATTCAGTAGCAGTGGGTAAACCCAGATTAAGTACCCAGATTATGATCTTGAAAAACCATTCTCACTAAAAAGACTCGTGGTTCTTAGAGAGATGGCCGATTCCAGGTCTGGAGCAGAAAATGTACAAGATGAATCAGAAATACCTTGTCATTCCTGATGGCAAGGAAATGATGGGTGATACCAGAGTCAAGGCCATGTGACTCAGGACTCAGAAGCAAACATTGAGAGGCTCTGACTGGCCAGAGTTGGGACAAGTTGATCATCGATAAAGAAAATAATTGCCTCTCTATTGGATGGATCAAAATGCATCAAATATGTTTAAATTCCATGAGTATAAAATGATACTTAAAAAAGGAAGAAAGTTAATTGAGTGCCATTGGAGGAAGCTAGTGAACTAACTCATCCAATAAAATAATGAGTTGAAAAAGGATACCTAAAGCATTTAGCTTGCTGTTTCTACTTGAAGTCTGCCCCTGGATAACCAAATAGTAGATGGGGGGCGGGGGGGAGTTCCCTTTAAATAATTATTTCAGCTAAAGAACTAAGAAGTAATCTAAGAATTGCACTGTCAACATGTGTGATCGTGAATGAACTGGAGGGGTCTGGGCATTGTCAATGGCTGCCACCTCCACAAGCAAGACAGCCCGCCTGATGGGAGAGGCCAGCACAGCCTACGATGTGGTTTTGCCCATGATTGAACCTGAATTTGGTCAAACCTTCATATCCAAGTGCCAATTTGTAGGAAATTCAGAGGACAGATGAGCATGTTACTTGACACCGCGGGAGTAATCAGTAAAAACCAGACGGTACAAAACTTGGCAAGAAAAACGATCAGGTCTTTTCAACAAACTGAAAGAACAAAAAAAGACGGAGGTGAAACCTATAAATGAAAAAGACATATCCACCAGTGACAATGCCTGGCAGCGAGGGTGGCCCCAGGGTGCCTGTGGAGAGCTCACTGGCTGGTTCAGTGACAGTCACCACGTACTGAGCTTGTGCTGTGACCCAGCATGTTTCATGCACCAACTTCTTAAGCCTTCAGAGTGACCGCGAGGTCCTGTGGTTCTTCTCTTCCACCAGGAGAAAATGGAGGCACAGAAAGGTGAACAGCAGGCCTGAGGCCCCATAGGCCGTAGTGGTGGGGCCACTCTGTCACCAAGAGACTGCTTCCAGGGCCAAGGCCTGTCCCCACGCTGCACCTTCTGTTCTGAGGCACAATCACAGCGAGAACAGCTGGACACACCACTCAGAGAAGAGATGCCCAAGGCCCAGGATGGCCAAGCTGGGACACGGCCACCCTAAGCCTCACACCCCTGGGACTGGGCTATGTAGGTGCTTCCGCCTGTGAAAGGCAGGTGGGGCGCCAGCAGTGCCCTTTGGAGGGGTGGCATGGGCCAGCAGGGTGAGGACTGCCAAGGTGGCCAGGAGCCCGTGTCCCTGACGGCCTAGCTCCTGCCATGTCATCACAGTGCATGAATATGGGGTTTGGTGGCTTGGTGCAATCAGGTTTGAGAGAGAAGTCTCCAAGGCGGTATGCACAGTAGCTTCTTATCATGCAAATGTTTATACTTGAACGAGGCGAAAAATCGATTGTAAGCCCACTCTTGGACCTCTGTCTGCCTGGAGGACACAGTGCAGAGGAGGAGGTTTGGGCATAAATGTGCACTTGAACACCAATGAAAGCTTG